CATAGAGCTTCCATACTGCTGATGTTTGGGACTTGGCGATTTGATTATTAGGTTGGGTGGTATTCGTCATCTCGGCTATGAAGTCAGGAAGGGCTTGGGCTTTGATGACGGTCCTTGGTTCATATCTGAGTTGATACTCTGACAGCTCAATCGCCTAAGACATCATTCGTCTGGCGAGGTAAGGTTTGTGTAAGACCTGACGGATGGGCTGGTTGGTTCTAACCACAATGGGGTGGCACTGAAAGTATAGCCTCAGCCTCCGTGTAGCGAAGATAAGCGTGAGGGCTACTTTCTCAACTTGCTGGTATCGGAGCTCAGCCCCTTGCAGGACTTTACTGACAAAGTAAACTGGTTTCTGTCCTTCATCTTTGTGCTCCCCGACTAGGGCTGCACTTAAAGCTTCTACTCCAACGGCAAGGTATAGGTATAAGGTTTCGCCACTTTCTGGCTTGGTGAGAACAGGTGGGCATGACAATACTCTTTTGAATTCTTGGAAAGCTTTTTCACATTCTTCCATCCACTAGAAGGTTGTTCTTTTTCTCAATAGGCTGAAGAGGGGGTGATATTTGTGTGCCGAGTTTGCTAGGAAGCGGGTGAGGGCTACTATCCGCCCGATTAGTTGTTGTACCTCTCTAACAGTCTGAGGGTTTTTCATGTCTGGTACCGCTTTGCACTTGTCTGGGTTCACCTCGATGCCCCTCTCGGTAAGCATGAAACCCAGGAACTTTTCGGCTAGTACCCCGAAAGAACATTTGCTAGGGTTTAGTCTCATGTTGTATCCTTTCAACCTATCGAACACGCTCTAGAGGTGTTGGAGGTGTTCTTCAGGCGACCGGGATTTAGTGATCATATCATCGATGTAAACCTCAATGATGTTGCTAATCAACTCATTGAAAACTTTGTTCATCATTCTCTGGTAGGTGGCACCAGCATTCTTCAGTTCAAAGGGAATCATGGTATAGCAATAGTTGGCATTTTGAGTGATGAACATCGCTTAGTCTTCGTCTTCTTTGATCAACGATATTTGATTATAGCCAGAATATGCGTTTATGAAGGAGAGCATTTTGAATCCAGATGCATTGCCTACCAGCTGATCGATGCTTGGGAATGGATAAGCGTCCTTGGGGCACACTTTGTTTAAGTCTGTGTAATCAACACACATCCTCCACGCCTTACTGGGTTTTTTCACCAGGACCAGGTTGGATAGACAAGTTGTGTAATTGATTCTCTAATGAAACCAGCATCATGGAACCTTTTGACTTCTTCTTATCTTCTGGCGGTCAGGGCCAAATTTTCTTTTCTTCTGGGCGACAGGTTTTGCCTTAGGGTCAACCGACAGTCTGTGACAACAAACTTCTCGGTCAATCCTGGCATATCAGACGGCTTCCACGTGAACAGGTCTCTATTGTCTCTTAGCAACTTGATTAACCTGCTCTTCAGTTCCGGCTCTATGGTTGCCCCAATTGTTGTAGTTTGTTGGTCAGTGTCGCCCAGAACGACGTGCTCTATTGCTCCATCCGCTGTGGTTCTAGAGTGTTCCACCCTTGGGTCATCCCTTGAATCAAATTCTACTAGGAAGCATTGCTTGTGCCCCTTCCCCTTCTTGTTGGAGTTCTCATAGGACACTTGTATTAGTGCTTGCTGGGGTGTTGATTGGTCTCTGAAAATGACCTTTGAAGGCGGTCTAAGCGATATGTTGTAGCAACTTCTGGCCATTGTTTGGTCTCCCCAGATTGTTGCAACCTTGTTGTCTCTCGCCACAAACTTCATCGCCAAGTGGGGGTGAGAGATTCTGGCTTCAAAGGAAGCAAACATTCTTCTGCCAAAAATGGCATTATAAGCAGAGGGTGTATCAAGCACTAAGAATTGAATGTCTGCAGACTTCGAAGTGGGTGGTGTCCCCATTGAAAATCGTAAGCTTATCACGGCAAGGGGTTTGGTGACGGTTGCATCGAAATCGGATAGCTCCCCTATAACAGGGATCAAGTCATTGATTGTGAACCCCAATGCCCTGAAATAAAGTAGAAATAAAATGTCAGCTGAACTACCATGGTCTATGAATACTCGATTTACGCCAAAATTAGCAATTATGGCTTGAATGATGTAGGGATCGTCATGCTCGAGGATGACGTCGTCCAACTCATTGTTATCCCACATAATTTTTGGCTTTATGGGGGTGAGGGAATCCTTTGCTTTGCTTATGGTCCTTCCTGATATCGCTAAACATTGCTTGAGGTGTTTTTTCCTGCCTTTTCTTGTCTCTCCTCCTCCGCTTAAACCTCCATATATCATGTTTATCACGCCGTGATTGATTATAGCAGAATCTTCTGCTTCTCGTCGTTCCTTGCTGGCGGGTCTGGCCTGTTCTCTGCGAGTTCTTGAAGAGTCTTCCATTTGGTCTCGATCACGGCGGGGCCTGTATTCTGTTCTGTTAGCTCTCCGTATTTCGGGCGATGGGCTTCACGCTGGGCGACGCCTCATAGGACCAGTTTCATGGGCAGGATTGTTGTATCTCCTAGACGCTCCTTCTTTAATCAATTCGTCAATTCCTTCTTCGATGCCATGACCATTGCTGCAGTGGAATTTTCAGTACACAGCGGGTTCTCTTGCTGTTACTTGGCGTGTGGGGTTTGTTTTACACTCTTCTTTGTAGTTGGTCTGCATCACACTGTGTGGGTGACGTGGGTGAGGCCCTCGCCCTAGGGGGCGACCAATATATCTGGCGGAGGGTTTATGAGTCCTTTTGTCTTCTTCACTTTGATCTTTGGTTTTGTTGGCCTTCTTCTCTCAGCTATGGTCGTCGTCTAATCTACTCCCTTTATACTCTTCTATCCTCATGAATTCCTGAGCTTTTTTCTTCACTTCCTCCAACTCTGTTATCTCGTGGCGATCCAGCTCATAAGCGAAGGCTCCTTGCCTCAACCCGGATAAGAGAATGTGCACTTGTACCTTGGAATCAAGGCCCTGAACCAGCAAGACCTCTTTATCAAAACGGTCTAAGAAAGATCTGAGGGACTCTCTTGACTGTTGGCGGATTTCCTCAAGGGAATGAACAGATTTGGGGACCGAGCAACTTGTTGCAAACTGAGTTTGAAACTTACTTGCTAAGTCATCCCAGTAGGAGATACTCCCAGTTGGTAAGCTTGTGTACCAAGCCAACACTCGCCCGCCAAGCAGTGTAGGGAAAGTTCTGCACATGAGAAGGTCTGTTTCACCATGAAGGGTCATCGCTGCTTCAAATTTTTGAATCCACTCGAAAGGGTCAGTGTCTCCAACATAGGTGGTATTGTTTAAGGGACCCTTGAAGCCCAAAGGTATGGGGGTGAGGCGAAGGCTGTCGATCAGGGGTTTATTGCACCCTGAGGGGTTAACGGGTGCAGTTCGTGTGTTCATGTTCTGCACATGTACTTCTGGAGGTGGGCGGGGTGCTATTTGTGCTTCTGGTTGATGGTGAACTGAGTAAGAAAGTGTTGGGGCATGGGGTATGCCATGTGGGGGTGGTGGGGGGGTTAGGATCATATATGATCCTTGAGGTTGGGCGACAACAGAGTTATGTGGGGGTACTGTGTAACCATGAAACAACATTCCGGAGGCTATGGGCGGTATGGGGTAAGGGCCCCTGTCGTGGTGAGTGTTAGGTCCAGGGGGTATCTGGTGGCTATTGGCATTTCATGGTCATTGTAAATAATGATTGGTTGGCTTCGAGGTGGTTGTGGATAAATGACGGGAGGGACTCTTTAGGGGGCTGCAATTGGTAGGGGCATACCGTAATGGACTCCTGGCGGTGGGGGGGATCTGGGGCCAAGCTTTCTTCTTGAACTTCTCATATGGCAACGTAGCGATCTATCGGTGCCACTTGTCGCAGGTTGGGGGCTTCTCTCTGCATCTCGTTTCTCGTGTGATGATTGATGGTACCGACCATTGGTAACGGCGCGTCAATGGATTGCAAAACTGGTGCAAGGACCACAGCAACCGCACGCGGTGCTGGGACTGATTGTACAGATGGTGGGAACTAGAGTGTACTGTTTGAGCCTAACCCTCTGGGGTGGTCGCTCTAGGTTGGTGTGTTCTCCTCATAGTGACCGCCATGCTTCGTTGAAGATCTTGGATCTTGCCTTCTGAAAATCTTTTAGTAGGAGAGTGGGAATTGGAGTTTATAGTTTCCCACAGATGGCGCCAATGTACCGTTGGGATCACCAAGCCCAATATGTTCCCTTTGCGGGATGAGAGTCACTATATGAGTTATACCACTAGCACAGGTAGAGACCAAGTTAGAAAGTACTATCCCAAGTATGAATACCACTATCAGATAAAGGAGGGATGTGTGTGTGACTCCAGGTTTATAAACTAATAGAATAACGATACATAAGATGCCTCTTTCTTGTCTTAAGGGGGTATTTATAAGAGGGTGAGTTGCTGGAGGGGGTTAATTTTCCTCGAGGAACACCAGGAATGGCTGACATTGCTGGGGTAGCAGTGGTGCAGTCACTACATCAGAAGTGGCAGCATCTGATGTTACCTTTGTGAAAAAGGGGTTACTATTTATGGCATCTGGGGCGGCTTCCTGCAGGGTTGATATCCCAATATGAGACATTTTGGTGTCTCACTTGGGGGATGCAATCGCCTAGAGGACAAGAAAGAAAGAGGGTTGGTATTAACCGGTCAGTAGGGCTGACATGAAAAGGGTAAGGGGGTTTAAGCCCAAATCATTGGGCCGCCCAAATGTGGGCCATCCAGAACAAAAATAAAAGACAATTTTGTTGTCGATGAATGATCCAAGCTAAATTCATTTCACATAACTTTGATCGGTGTCTATGATATCCTAGGAGGGTAGGCTACTTTTGATTCAATCAGTAATAGGTTAGTGCATCACTTAAACCCCAAAAGGAACTCTAATTCACTATAAATATACTATTCCATATCGTAGATGGACTCATGCATCTGAATGGCCTCGCTTACAGTGAAGCTGGCTAACTGTGACCCAGTATCTTTGCGTGTGTGTGTGTGTCTTTGATTAGATAATGATTATCTAGATAAAGGTTTGGATTGCTTTTGACATTTGTCTTGTCCTGTATATTTCGCTGGATTCACCTTTTGTTATGATTTGGTTACATGGGAATATAAAAGTAACTGTTTGTGGGTCTTGAAAGCATCAACAACACAGGATTAAAAAAACATTTCTATCATCTCTACTCATCTGTTATCTCAAGCTGGTTCTGTTTTTTTACCTTCGTATTCTCTATCTTTATCCATAAACTTTGTTTTACATTGTACAAAGCACAGAGTGGAGGATCTGCTTTTAGTGTCTTTCGTTCTCAGCTATGAAGAGGCTCAATAACTCAGATAATATGGCTTCTATGCTTTCCATGTGCCCATCAAAAGGTATAGAAGTAATTTAAATAATCTTGAGAACCTCTTTCTCTATATGGTTCATTCATCTGCACCATTCATTTTTTAGATACCCTTTAACAGAATTCTCATTCTACCATCTGAAGCCTAATGGAGCAATACCCATATATTAAAACTTACCTTTCTTTTTTTTTTTTCTTTCTTTTGTGAGTATTGGTGATTCAGATTTTAGATTAATTATTGGTAACAAAATTTTCAGTATTTAACTTTTCAGTTATGCCTAATGGGCTAGTGACTAATTCCAACTTGCTTTCATTTTTTGTGAATGCAGGGTTGAATCAGAGGAAAGAAACTCAGGGTTACAGTGAAGAATTTCAGGCAATGTTAGATAGATTAGAGCAAGAAGATAACTATGAAGATGGTAGCTTAGTCTTGGAGAAGAAAAGGAGACTCAGTTATGATCAGGTCAAAGCGTTAGAGATGAGTTTTGAGATGGATAACAAGTTAGAGCCAGAGCGCAAAGTGAAGTTAGCAGAAGAACTAGGCTTGCAACCAAGACAAGTTGCTATTTGGTTCCAAAATCGACGAGCCCGTTGGAAAACTAAGCAATTGGAGAGAGATTATGGTATTCTCAAGTCCAATTTTGATATTCTCAAGGTTGAGTATAATAATCTTGAGCAAGAGAATGAGGCTCTTACTATAAAGGTATAACAAATCACTCACTTTGATTGCATAACCCATTTGATTTATTTTTTATTTTTTATTTTGTACTGTTCTTATTAATGTGCAGTGTTTGGGTTCTTTGCTTTGTTCTTTGGTGTGTGAACTGCAGCTAAGAGAGTTAAAAGCAAAATTGTGTGAAGGAAGAGGTGAAAGCAATGATTCAGTGAAAGAAGAATGTCCAATTTCAGAAGTTAGAGACAGAGGAGCATCAGAGAGCAATTCAAATGGTTTGGTTAAGGAAGAAAGTAATGTTGATTCTCCTTTGTGTTTCAATGGATCTTTGCCTAGTTCAAGTTCAGTGATAAACTGGCTTCACTACTCTGATTCAAGAGGGTCTCCTGATAGAACGTTTGAGACTCACTTTGTGAGAAAGGAGGAGCAGAATTTCTTTAGTATTAATGAACTTAGCAGTTTCTTTTCAGTTGATCAATCACCTACCCTGTAATAGATTGAATGGATCATTCAAGAGCAATGCCACTACCTAGAGTTCATATTTCATATCTAATAGAAAATTGCTTGGTTATAAAAATTCCTGATTAAAATTAGATTTTTGTAATAGAGTAGACATACATCATAGTAAGATTAAAATAATTCCAACTCCAGTTTGTCTATTTAGTTTATGATGTATCTTCCGATTTAGATTATGTCAACCATAGAACTAAAAGAAGCGAATATTGACCACATTCATATAATTTCTTCATTTAGATCCAAGGGGAAGGGTTGAGTATTTTTTATTTTTTATTTTTTAAAAATTAGAGGGGAGAGAAGAGGCCGAGTTGGGGTAAAATACTTTCCCTATTATCCGGTACATCACTTATTCAAAATTGAAAAAAAAAAAAAATTACCTCCTCTATGGTTAATGATACACAAATCTTATTTTTCCCTAATTTATATAAAGGAGTACTTGTTACGAAGGCACCGAAAATATGCTTGATTGGGGGAGAACCTTTAAGAAGGTAAAAAAAAGCAGCCTTTTAACTCACAGATAAAATTATAAAAAATTTACTGGATTGATTCAAAATTGAAATATTTTATCAAAATAATACAGTGAGATGTCATGTCGACATGTGACTTGTAATATCCGTGAGATGATAAATGTGTCTTTATCTATGTGCATGTCATGCTCCTCTTTCATATGTTACTTGAACGTGCATATCTTTATATACGTCCTTCCCTATTGATTTCACTATGTGTGATTTCTAGTAAATTTCTTTCCCCATTTTATTTTACACATTTAATCAAGGGATGGGAGGAACCCCTTTCGTCATACATTATTTTCTTTCCTTTCTTATTTTCTCCCCTTAAAACCATCAAACAAATTGCAAAGAGAAAATACAAACTGAATTGCAATTGGACCACATAAGGTCCAGATAAATATGACAAGGGCAAATTTCAGGCAAAGAAACAGAATCTTCAAATTTGGTGACTTTTCAGATGAACAAAGCTGGCTCATGGCTGGTTATCCCATATCTAGCTTTTGTGCTTTCACATTCTTTTTCTCACTGTCAGAGGGGTGACCTTCCCAGCATCGATGCATGTGGTAGGTAAAATCACCCGCAGTTTTATCAAACTAATTTCTAATACTACTTCCTCATGTTTTCATTTCCCCACATGCTTTTGCAAGTTCCAGCTTACGCCACGTATCATCATGTTTTCTTCAGAAAACACGTTCTATATATAGAATTTGTTAGATGTGTGATTTTATAAAAAAAATATAAAAAAAAATTCCGATCTATAGTTAATCAAATGGATAATGGACACTAGATATTAAATATATTAGTCATTAAAAAATGACTAATGCACCTGACGTTTGTATTTATTTGAATGAGGACAAAAAAAATTTGTGTTTTACTTACGTTACAAATTTTTCAGTTATGAAAATACCAAGGTTTAATCTTTTTGAAATTTTAAAAGGAAAACATGTACATGCATTTTTGTCCTATTTTAAAGTAACTAGCATGAGTTTTCGAACTCAAACGAGAGGTTAGAGATTATTAAAAAAAGAAACAGAGATAGACTGTTTATTACGTTATTTTATGTGTGCTAATATCAACATAGTGTAACTTAATGTTTTTTCGGGAGAACATAGTGTAGTTTATAAGAGTTTGTAAACAAAAAGCTTGTAAATATAATCCTCCTCAAAAATTAAAAAGTTTTTCTTTTTAGTTGAGTTTCTTTAATTCATGTATTTTTTATTTTTGATAATAGGAATTAAATTACTAAGAGAGGAAGCTTTTTAATTTTACTTATAGATATGTATAGACAAATAAGAACTACGTACCTATGTATCAAAAAAAAAAAACTACGTACCACATGTATTGATGAATATATGCAACTTACTAACTCAAAACATTTCCATCTAGCTTCAATCTGCATGTTTTATGAAATCTAAAAATTTCTAGATGCTTTGGATACAAGGCTATATAGTGACTATTTCAAAACTGAATGAAATTCAATTAGTTACATTTTTCACAAAAATAAAAGGATAATCAATACTAAGTTGGAGTAGTGTTACATCACAAGAAAGAAACAAAGAGAGCAGTAATTCAAATAGAAAGAAACCCGATCAAGTTGTGAAACACCACAAGATCACAAACGTTTGACGATTAAGGTTAGCGCCGAGCAGAGCAGGTGTGTTGAACTCAACACATGGAGGTTAATTGAGCAGAGGTCACTTTCCACTTTTGTGATATTTAGTGGGAAAGAGTCAGTCTATAAAGCTGGCTACGACACCTTACCTATCCTCCAAGGTCTAGCTTCTGTCAGAAGTAGGACCCCTGTTTTCTGCCATGTTTGACCCTTTAGATCGTATCCCACCAATAGAAATGCCTTCTTCAAACTTCCGACTTGTACATTTTACATTATTATTTCTTTCATATATTATTTATTTTATTATCACTGATATAATTTCTTATATTAATTTTTGAAAAATATATTTATTATGTTACATAAGATAAAATTGTCACATGCACGTACCAAAAGTGGATAAGCCTCACTTTTTTTCTTTCTCTCTTATCATCAGAGTGGATCTCACACACTCTTTTGTGTGTTTCATGAGATAATTTTATCTTATATAAAATAAGAAAGATATCCTTCTTACTTTTATTTCACTTTTTGTTGGAGATTATTTGTGTCATTTGTTTTAGCAAAAAAATATTTGTCATTTTAAATAATATAACTTGTGTCATTTCACTCTAATAAAGAAGTGGGATACACACTTTTATTTATTTATTTTCACTCTTTTTCTCCGATGATCTATCTCTTTCTCTCACTTAAAATGACACAACTTTTTTTTTTGTTAAAAAAATAACACAACTTTATATCTTTTAAAATGACACACATTTTTTTTAATAACAAACAAAATGTGTCGTGTAATTCGTTTTAATGCTTGTTTTGGTTTTAAAGAAAAAATGGGAAGCCAAATTCATTTGGCCTTTACTAATATGATAATCAACAGAGAAAAAAATGAATAGTTAAGTTTATTTTTTATTGAATTTGTAAAAAAGTTGGATAAAATTCTTTAAAATAAAGATGTTTTAAAGTAAAATCTAAAGGCATATGATATACGCTGCGCATGACAACCATTTTGATTCCTGACACTATTTCTGAAAAGAAATGATTCTTTTCTATTTCTGTGCCTTGGAACAATTCTAAGAATCAGAATTATGTTTGTTAACATATTTTATTTTTATTCCGAGAATCAGAATTACGTTTGATAACACAATAAAAATCTATTTCTTTACTTTTGTTTATAGATTTCATCAACTGTATAAAATATCAAATGACAATAGATTGTAACCGAAATGCCAAATTTTATATTTAAAAAAATTATCTAAAAATTTATAATATTTTATTATATAGTTTTTTTTTTACGACAAATGCTAATATATATAGTTTTAACTATTATTAGCAGAAAGATAAAGTCTTTAGTCTTGACCACTGCCATGTTTTATAAATTTTCTAAATATGCCCAGATGAGCATTGAATTGGAAGCATCTTGAGAACTGACAGTGTTAACGGTGGTGGAGGAAGGAAGCATGGCATAATGAGCAATTATGACACATGAGAATTATGTTTGGTTCTAAAGAATAAAAGATGGCTTCTTATCTTGTAATGCACCGTGTTCATTTTTTTCAATTGAATCCATATATAGCACCCTCCTTCTTAGACTTGCCAGAACATTAAAAAACAAAAAAACGAGAGAAACCCTAAAAATTGATCAGAATACCCGAATCCAGGTAAGTAATTCAACAAATATAATCACCAAGAACAGCCATCAAATAAATGGGAGAAAAAAAATGAATTATCAGGTCCTGCTGGTTGAGTGGTGAGAATCAAAACTAAAAAAGCCAAGCTTTCTGCAGGGATTAAGATCACAGGTTCGGAGACTCCCGTAAATGGCATCATGCTATATACAGAACGCTAAAACAAGGCGATAGCACGAGCCAGTAAGGCATAAATATTAGGGACATTCATAAAGACCACTATATCCAAGCAAGCGAACCTCGGTCATTTGTTACTTGGGGACGGCCTCTAGTACATGAGAAAATGAAAGTAGAATAAAACCTACCGAATCGCACGATAATGACGATAATACGAGGCCCAGAATACCAGCTAAAGCGACCTCACTCTCATTCTCATCTGAACTCTGAATATTCGAATCGTCGATTGATATGGTTGAAAGCAGTGATAGTTTGGTGTTGGTGTGTGAGCGGGTATGGAGTAGTGAGAGGGTTAGAGAAAAACTGATTCTCTTTTTATGCCCAGAATCAAAAAAGCAGAATTTTTTTGATTCTTTTTTCTGTTTCCCAGCACAAAAAATAAATCGGTTCATCCCGGGAACAAAAAAATAAACCGGTTTTACCAAACAAGTTTCCTATCCATTTCTGTTCCCTAGAACAGAAATTAAAAAAGAATTGATTCCGGGAAGGTTGTCATGCACACCCATAATGAACTTGAATTTTCTGAAAAATATTTTGAGTGAAATGGACCTACCAGTTCAGCTGATTGATTTAATAATGGAGGTTGTATATGTTAGTACATAGGTGTCCTAAAGACAATCTAAGAGTCAGATGGACTCATGTACTTCTTTATTTGTTATGAATAAATTTTATGAATAAAAGCATTCTTTATCTTGTTTTATATTGCATTTCTCAAATATTGGATATGAGTAACTGGATAAAGCCCTTGGAATGGAACGGGTGTCACATTGAGGACTTGTGATAGAGATCACGATCATTTAGGCTCAATGACATCACACATCTATTGCCAGAAATATGTTCCTAGTCTAGAGATACCAATAATGGGCATTGATTATCTCGGGTAAGACTAGCACGACTCAGCTACTTGCATGGAGATGCAAGGTAGAGTCCTCGTGAGCTACAGACATAGAGATGTCTTAGCTGACTCGTGGGTGGACCTATTGGAGAGTATATCGCACTGAATTGACCCACAAAGAGACACTACAAGAAAATCTCAT